CGATCTTTCGGCTTGACTAGCAACAAACTTAGTTAACAATAGAAGGTACGAAGAGGCACGCTTGTTAGACTACTAGAGACGCTCAGAAAACTTACCCTTGGCTTCATTTGATAAACTGACATCGACGAAGAAGGAATTGCGATTTGAGATTTTTGCGGGTGACAGCTGTTTACTGGGTCATCCAGTATGTCTTGAATGAAGAACGATTTCTCTGGGGTTGGTCTTTTCGTTATGATAAATATAGCTGGTATGACATCAGTGGCAGAAGCCTAAAACAAACCTTTCACGACTTTTTAATAATGTCAAATATAATTTATCTGATTTACGATAAATTCAGACTGTTATCCACGCGATGCAAGCCCAGAAATAGCACAGATGGAGATGGTGGTGTTCTTCTCAACTGCTTTGGTACTCCAACAGTCGTTGCGAATCCTGAAGCAGCTGGGATGTCTAGATTGTGAAGGTAATTTTTGGCGAGCTAATCTTTTCGGCAATAATGTTGATCTGACGTTCCCAATTCAAGGTTCGTTGCTATTCAATTGGCATGGTGGCACAGTTCCACACGCTCAGCTTTTCTCCAGAGATGCCGGGTTGAATTACAGCATTTACTCCTGTTCATTTAACGATGTTAGCGGCCCATTTTTTCCTTGGTTTGATACCGGTTTCTATGTATGATCTAGTCTTTAAGTAACATTCATGACAGCATTCGCCATCCGTTTTATTGATATAATTACGAAAAGATTAAAAGACTCCTTCAAGGCAAGATTTTATTTTAGTTTCGCACTTTGTGCTGATTATTATCTTCCAGTCAACTGTCAATTAGGTCAAGGCGAAATGCAGTCTCAAGAGGCATTCGCATCGAACAGCATGACTGTATTTCTCACATATTCTGCTATGACCTCACCAGAACATTATGCTGTCCATAGTGTTCTCAATGACTTTTAACTCATTTCTAGTTGGGTTGTGCTGTGAATCACAATATTGTGGATTGCTAACTCAAAGAGGTAAATTTTTACGCGGCGTGAGGGGTTTTAAACCGGTGCTTCTGAAATGACAGACAACTTCCTGCCCATTGCGCTAGCGCCATCTCATTTAGTTGCCGAAATGTAGTGGAGTTCCTTCTGCATCTTTTTTAGTAAACTAAGCGTTGAGTCTCAGCTTGTTCTGTTGATTATGTTTAGTTTTGAATGAATCAATTCACAAATTATTTGTCCACAGAGAGGATATAGTCAGACCCAGTAAGCAAAGCATATAAAAAATTTTTCGTTTTACAATATGCTTCTATAATCACATGGTTATATCTACATTTACGTAATTAATCTATTCAACCTATCGTTTACTGTATTAATCTATTATCGTTCAACTGAATAACGTATATTAGCGATTATGCAGCTCAGCAAAACAGTTTACGCAATAAGAAAAGGAATATATATATTCTCAGTCACTTTCCCTTCATCCGCATGTTTACTTTCCTCGAAACCTCTCTCCTCTTGAACATTTTTTGGCGACCAGTTGTAAACCTGATGCAAATACATGGAAGGAGTCTATTCCAGACCTCTACTCAGTTTTCTACCAAACCTCAGCGTCTGGCCCAGGATCATGAACGTTGGAAGCACCATCTGATGCGTCTGCCTCCGCGACCCGAAAGGAGAAGCGGTCATGAAGCATGAATATAAAAATAATTGCTCAGAACTCCATTCTGGGTACCAACCCTCATAAACTCATATCCCTTCCACTTTCACTCTGCCCAAAGGATTCAAAGAATTGGAGCACCGTAATAGATTTTGGTCATCGATAGATATTACTGGCCACTGGCAGGCAACCATCATCCAAACCTACTGGAGCTGGCTCCTGTGTCATCTCCTTCCAGGCCCCTCACTTCAGCAGGACAGAACGCTTCAAACACAAGCATTACTTCTTCAATAATATTTTCTGTGTTACCTCCATTTTTTGATCGACGAACATTATAGAAAT